AAAATTTTACTTCAAAAAAGTAGAGATTATGTTAAAAAAATTTGCATCTGCCAAGCTTCTGTTCAAATTATCGAAAAATTTGACTAGAGACAAAATTAGTAGAGTCAGTGTTATACTGACATTTGGGGGGAAAAGAGCCTGGCAGGGACTCTTTTTCTCATTTATGGTTTTTCTTCATATGAACTATGTCTTGGCCAAATTAGTTTTAATTAGGAAGTAAGAGTTTCTTGAATAACTCAAATCTAAACACTTAGCCTTTTGTTTGTTCCTCAGAAGAAGTTCAGTGTAAGGAATATTTTCAAGACAGTAAAAAGAAAAAGTCCTTAGAAAAGTTAGGCTGCTTTGTGACTTAGGTCTACAGATTTTTAAGCCAGCTTACTCTTTCTATTTCTAAGGCCCCTGTCCTACCTCACATTTTCTTTGTTACTTACCTAAACTATTATAATAAATTCCTTACTGGTCTTTCTCTTTCTCTTCTAATAGGGTTCCATGAAAAAAGCTTGGAAAGTGCTAGGCTAAATCTTTAAAAACACCTATTTTTACCTGTAGTAATCCTCACTGCCTTTAATATTCCAGGTGCATTGTAAATGCCCAAGATATTGCAGTATATAGCACTCCCCCCTTACCTTTGGGGGATACATTCTAAGTCCCTATATATACACTATGATTTTTCCTATCCACACATACCCATGATAAAATTTAATTCATAAATTAGGTGCAGTAAAAAGATTAACAACAATGACTAATAATTAACTTATTATTAATAAGGTATTATTAAGTGAAATAAAGGTTACTTGAACACGAGCACTGTGATATTGTGCAGTAAATATGAATAACCAAGAGGGCTCCTAAGTGACTAACAAGCAGAGAGCATATAAGTCCCTAGACAAAGGGATGATTCACATCCACCTGGCACGATGGCATGAGAAGCTATCACGCTACTAGAACAACATGCCATTTAAAACTTATCAATTGTTTACTTTTGGAATTTTCCATTAAAAAAATTTTGAACTAGAGTTGATTGAGGGTAACTGCAAGCAAACCTGCAGATAAGGAGGGTCATATTTGGGGGAGAGTAAGGATTACTACAGGTAAAAATATGTGGTTTTAAAGATTATTTAGCCTAGCACTTTCCAAGCTTTTTTCATAACCCTTTCTTAATAATACACTAGTATTCTTTTTTTTTTTTTTCTGAGACAGAGCCTCATGCTGTCCCCCTGGGTAGAGTGCCATGGAATCACAGCTCACAGCAACCTCCAACTTCTGGGCTCAAGTTAATCTCTTGCCTCAGCCTCCCAAGTAGCTGGGACCACAATACCCAGCTATATTTTTGGTGGCAGCCATCATTGTTGTTTGGC